AATGGACTTTGTTTTCGGGATGTAGAAGCAGGTGTTTCCAGAAACCCCGCTCGTCACACCCTGTGATCAAAATCCATTGTTATTCGTAACAATAGATCTATTCAATTTACACTTGTTTCAGAAATAGAAACTATGAAGTACAACAATAGAACTGGGGTGTAAATATATTTTGGACTAATCTGGATTCACTTTTGCAGTATTCCTTCCAGCGAGTGTAACTTTTATGTCTTAAGTTCTGATTTGAAAAGTGTTTTTCATAGCTTTTATTTGAACAAAACTAAAAATAGAACTATCATTGACACAACAGAAAACTACTCAACACAATGCCGTGTTTAGCCAGAGACATAACGCTCTAGGGCTTAAGGTCACTGATTTGGACTTTGGACCATAAATTTAACTATGGGAAATAAAAATAACGGTAACGGCCGGAGTAATAAAACAACTCAGGAAAAACAACAAACAAAAGAGTTTGAAACATATAATAGTAACAGTACAAAACAACCCAATGTTATTAGCGTTAATGATGTTATATCCGAAGCTCATAATATAATATACCAAACAGATGACTCTTTATTTGGGAATTTATTCTCTAACAGTAGCTTACAACAGAATAACTTAAAAAGAAAGCTTAATACGGAAGACAGCGAAACAATTTGTACAAAAAACACCGAAAATAAACAAAAACGTCCAAAACATGTACAGAAAAGTCCCAATAGTGGAATACAAACTTTCGAAACTAATACTGAGCAAATTTGAATACAATGACAGAAGCTGAGATCCACGTGGACTCTACCGTATCTCCAGAGATGCTTATGGTCACCAAAATGATTAGTAATTTGTCTGTCGATATGCGGAGTATGTTTAGTGAGATGAATAATCGTATAAACGATCTTGAGGCCAACCTTGAACGTAAAATAACACAAAAAATTAAGTTATTGACAAACGAATTTCAACGGAAGTATCCAAAGTGAAAAAAGATGTAGATTTGGCTGTCGATACTTCGCGTCAGGATTTTGACCAGGACTTGAAAATTGTAGAGGACAAATTAAATGATTTTTCTAAATCTGTAAAGCACACTGGAGAAAGAGACATATCATATAATTTAGTCGTCAGAAATTTACCCGAAAGTGCTAACGAAAATCTGAATTCAAAAATGTCTGCCTTGATGAGGGAAGGTCTAACGATACAAACAATTTCGTTTTCGAGTGTCGAGCGTAAACGTAGCCGAAATGAAAACAAAAGTGGGGTAGTGATTGTTACATGTAAGTCAAAAGATGATCTCAACCAAATCATGTCTTCAAAATGTAATTTAAAGTTTAGTCGACAATATAGCGACGTTTACAACCATAAAGATCAAAGTGTTCAACAGCGTATTGAGCGGAAAAATTTTCAAACTATTATTGATGTTTTAAAATCATTTGATTCCGAAATTGATATGACAGGAGCTGAAATTATAGCCAAGCGCTATGTAAACCACCAACAATTAAGACGAGAAGGACATTTTAACAGAGACATGCAAAGTTCACGTAATGAACACAGTAACAACCGTCATTATCGCGCTGAAAATAGGAGTCAACGTGACATGATGAGGGAAGGTCTAACGATACAAACAATTTCGTTTTCGAGTGTCGAGCGTAAACGTAGCCGAAATGAAAACAAAAGTGGGGTAGTGATTGTTACATGTAAGTCAAAAGATGATCTCAACCAAATCATGTCTTCAAAATGTAATTTAAAGTTTAGTCGACAATATAGCGACGTTTACAACCATAAAGATCAAAGTGTTCAACAGCGTATTGAGCGGAAAAATTTTCAAACTATTATTGATGTTTTAAAATCATTTGATTCCGAAATTGATATGACAGGAGCTGAAATTATAGCCAAGCGCTATGTAAACCACCAACAATCAAGACGAGAAGGACATTTTAACAGAGACATGCAAAGTTCACGTAATGAACACAGTAACAACCGTCATTATCGCGCTGAAAATAGGAGTCAACGTGACATGCACAATAACACCTATACTGGAAGACGTAACGAATACAACAGCGATACCAGATGAGAACAAAGAGACAGAAATGGTGAACAGCACAGGCACATGACACAGGGTAGATGGTAGATACCAGCTGGGTTTTGGAATGTGAATAATTGGAATAAAAACACTTTTTCTGAAAATAATAAACTTAGAACTGATTGTATTAACATGTTGAATTTAGATATTGTAGGTATATGTGAAACACATTTAAAATATGATGACGTTTTACATGTAAATAGTTATAACTGGATTGGTAAAAATAGAAAACGTTTACATAAAAATGCCAAGACCGGTTCTGGTGGGGTAGGAGTTTTTGTTAAAAAATCTTATTTCGAAATGTTTGATATTGGAGTTTTAGAGATATCCTTTGAGGGTATTTTGTGGGTCTCATTCAAGCATAAAAATTCAGACTTTAAATTTGATGTATGTGTAGCATATTTGCCTCCGGAAAACTCAACACGACAGGTTGATAAAGATGTATTTTTAAACACATTAATTGCACAGGTGTATGAGCATCAAAATTCAGGTCCCTTTTTTATTTGTGGAGATTTAAATAGTAGATGTGGAGATGAAAACGATTATATTGTTGGTGTCGATGATCTATGTTCAAGAGATGTAGTTTATTTTAAATATAATTCTTATTGTAACACAATTATTGATTTTTTAATAAGCGTGAACAGTTGTATACTTAACGGTAGAAACTTTGTTAACAATGACTATACATGTGTATCAACAAAAGGCTGTTCAGTGGTAGACTATTGTATTGTACCATATGATTATTTACATCTATTTAGCAATTTTGCAGTGATAAGAGCTAATAACCTGGTGATCCTGGCTGGTTATGATTTATCAGGTGTAGATTTAAAGTTGATTTCTGATCATTCATTGATTTAATGGAATTTTGATCTGAGATCTTTTGTTTCAGTAGAATTGCTGTAATAGTTATCCCATGAGGACGCGCTGTATCAGTGTAAGATCACCCTCTGTGGTCGGAGGCCACAGGGTGATCTTACACTGACACACCAAGTCCGAATGGGATAACTATTTTACATCCCAGCTATTCTAGATTAGATAAAAAAAAAACATTTACGCTTCATAAAATGTAGTTTAGAACGCCACACAATCATTATAATATACTTTATATATTACTATATTATAGTATATACCCTTGATGAGCCCCTGACACAATGTTTAAATGTTAGATTAACACAGAGTTTGTATCCAGTCGTCCTGGTGTAGGAGCATGGATCGTGGGTCTATATGCTAATGGTCTTGAGTTCGAATCCCAGCATAGACACTGGATTTTTTCTACATAAATTTTGATAGTTAGTCTTTTCCGTATAAGTAATTCTAAGATTTATTGTGGATTTGACATTCCCGCCAAAATGTTACAGGACAAAGGAAAGCATGCAGAACAAAGAAACTCAAGCTAGGGTGATCTGGTAGTGGTGATCCGGCTCAGATCACCCCTGGTAGAACAAAGGAGCTGGGATGTAATAAAAAAGAAGAATCTGAACTGTCTAATTTTGATAAATACGACTGTAAAACATACCAACCGATTTTATGAATACAAATGATACATATTTATTAAATTAAATCTTTTATTGACAAGTTCGATATGATTGAACAAGAGCTAATTTGTGTAAATGATATATTTTCATCGTTTTGTAAAACTGTAGAAGGTGAAATGATTGACAAACTTACATGTAAAACTGTATGTATAGGTGGTAGTCGTACAAACAAGAAACATAGGATTAAAACACCTTGGTGGAATGATGATCTAAACAAATTATGGGTTGAAATGTGCTAGGCCAAAAAAACGTGGAATAAATTTAATAATAGTCCACGTGCTTTTGAATTCAAAGCGATTTATGTTCAGAAGAGAAAATATTTTGACAGAGAGGTTCAAAAATGTAAACGAAGATATTGGTTTAGTATGCAGCAGGAACTGTTGTTGGAATCAAAAAGAAACCAACAGCAGTTCTGGAAAAAAAGTGGTAAAATTGGGGTAGCGGAAAACCGGAAGTCAGTCATTCCCATGGAGGTTATAGACCAAGATGGGAATGTTAATTCAAAACTGACAGATGTTCTAGATAAATGGAAGTCGGAATATAGTAATTTGTTGAATCAAAAGATTTCAACCAAGGTTTCTGAAACGCAAAATCATGTTTCTACGAAAAACACTTTTAATAACTTTCTATTGACGGAACCCATTTCGTTTGCTGAAACAGCTTATGTCATTGAAAAAGCAAAGAAAGGCAAATCTGCTGGATTTGATAATTTACCAATTGAAGTTTTGCAAAAAAATTGCTCAACTTTGTTTTTGAACCATCTATTTGATTTTTGCTTTAGGTTCCAAAAAACGCCAGATTTATGGAACAAAATTATTATCAATCCCATACCTCAAGCAAACATGACAGATCCGCGCGACCCCTTGTCTCACAGAGGCATTGCCTTAGCTTGTGTTTCGTATAAGCTTTATTGTAATATTTTAAACGAAAGGCTAACGCAATGGGTCGATGACAATAACATGAATAACATATTAGTCGACGAGCAAAATGGTTTCCGTCAAAATCGAAGCACTATAGATCAATTATCTTCTCTTACAAGCATAATTGATTTAATAAAAAAGCTTCGTAAATCTACTTTTTGTGCCTTTATTGATTTTAAGAAGGCCTATGATACCATAAATAGAAATATACTATGGTCGAAGTTAAATGTGATAGGTGTTGCAGAAAATTTTTGTGCTGCTATAGTCTATTTACTCAAATGTATTATGTTCAGTACGATTAAACGGCCATTTATCAGAATGGTTTAATGTCAACAGTGGTCTTAAACAAGGATGTCCATTATCACCTATGCTATTTAATCTCTATATAAATGACATAGTTTCGTTCTTGAAATCTTATGAGAGTGATATTGATATTAATGATGAAAAAGTTTGTATTTTACTTTATGCTGATGTGACAGTGAAAATTTAAGTGCAACTTCATGCCTCAACAGCTGCATTCTAACTTTAATAATTTAAAGAAATTTGTATTATTTGTTTCAAATTATTATGTTTTATATATGAACTTTTTAGTATGAAAATCTGTTATACAATATTTATGAATCAGTATAATTTAACGTAAATTATATTATCTCATTACTTAATACGAATAGCCACAGAAATTAACATTTATAATCTTTAGCAATTTATCTAAAGACACAGGACAATAGATATAAATAAGTTTTATCTGGACAAAGTGATATTACGTAATCTTGGTTCATTTACTTATTTACGAATCTCAATAATCCGTTTTATGTCAAGAAAAGTTAAGGTGATATTTTTGTTAGCGTCCCCCTATATGACATGGGGCCAGCTAAAGGATATTTTTTAATTAAACCTTTTGTTAGCTTTCAAAGTAAACCTTGTCGAACCTCACCTGAAAACTAAGCAGGAAACTTTGTTAATAAGCGTCAGTGTTGGTCAGTTTCATTCCGACCAGCACTGAATAAAGTTGTATTCTTAAAAGCTTGTTTTCATTACAGTCTCGCAAGCAGCAGAACATCAGCAAACATACAAACAAGAACATCATCACTACATTCAGTTGTCATAACCCCCAGAACGCACCCAAAACCTCGTTCACAGCTTGGTGGAGCCCTGAAATTTCCCGTCTCTACTGATGCCAGGGAGTGCAGACTCAAAGAAGAAAGGATCAACGCCTTTGAACTTCTACCCACATACAAGGTCATCTGCAGCCACTAGTGAAGATACAGCACCAACAGAAGACGAGCCAAATCATATAGGTTTGATAAGCAATTCAGGCAATGAATCAGATGAACAAAATTTAATTAATCTGGATTCACCAGATAATATTGATGTAATAGTACATGTTCAACAGGATGAAATTCTAAATAATCAACCAATAGTAGCTGTTAACGATAACATAGAACCAGAAAATCTTATAAACAATATAGAAACAAATACTGATTTAGATATAATGGCATCTGGAGGTGTTTCCCTTCCGAAATTCTATGATGAATTCAACAACATACCTGTAGAATGGTGGTATTTATTTGAATCTTTCAAAATATACCACAATTTACAAGACGATAGAGCACTTGCTTCGCTAGCATTCAATTTTGATGGACAAGCTAAGATTTGGCTTCAATCCCTTGCTCCAGAAGTCAGAAATGATATGGCAGCACTTAAAGCAGCATTCTTGCTTAGATTTTCAAACAACAAATCAAATAAATTAATATACAAACTACAACAGTTACCTGGAGAAAATGGTAATGATTACTTAACAAGAGTTCAAAGACTTGCTATGAATACCGAATTAGGAGAGAGCACAATTGTTGAACTTGCCTTAAATGGACTTCTTCCACATTTAAAGGCATCAGTGACTCAAAGTGACCCAAAAACATATAATGAATTAAGGCAAGCCATAGACATAGCTATAAATGTGACAGAATGCCATAACCATAGCATACCGTCGACAAAAAGTAACAATGTACCACAGGTACCAGCAACAACAGAGAATCCTGCAACTGCTTCCAGCTCTAATGACATTAATTCTTTACTTTCTTCTTTTATAGATTCAATGAAGACAGTTGTTAGGCAAGAAGTTATGGCTTTAACTCCAAACAGGGATAACAGAGAAGAAAGACAGTTCTCACAAGTGCCATGCAGAGGTTGCGGTAAGTCATGTCGTACAAGAAGGCAATGTCCTGCATACAATGTTAGATGTTTTAGTTGTGATAATATAGGTCACTACAAAGAGGTGTGTGAGCAAAACGAAAGAAAAAAACAACAAAATCAAAATAACAGGTATAGGAGACCACAACAAAACTTTCAACAAAGAGGATCAAACTTTAATCAAGGTCATATGAACAATCAAAACAAACAATCTCACAACAACTACACACAAAATTACAGAGGTTAGGGATACGCGCCTATCCAGAAATTGGGTAGGCATTTCTCAGGGGAAAAGAAGGGACATGCCAAGAGACATACAAACAACTCCCCTATTCCTAAAAAGTCAACAAGTTTAAGAGTGAAGAAGAAGAAAACTCCAGGAGTTTTTCAATTAGTAACTTTAAACGTAAATAAAATTCAAATTGAAGTTTACGGCAAAAGTATAAGTTGCTTAGTTGACAGTGGGGCAGCTATAAGCTGTTGTTCTAAAAACTTACTTAACTTCTTGGGAATAGGCAAAGATAAGTTACAAAATTCAAACTTAAAAGATACTATGGGAGTTGGTGGTAATGTCCTTCCTATTTTAGGTGTGATATCTCTTCCTTTAGTCATTGGCAATAATTCTTATTGGAATGATTTTTATGTTTTTGAAAATGTACAGCAGAATATATTACTAGGCAATGACTTTCTTCATCCCAACAAGGTAGATATTTTGAATTCAGTTGGATCTGTTTTCTTTCCTGACAAAGAAAATAACACAATCAATACTCTAGAGTTGAATTCAGGGCTGGCTAGAACTGTTAGTGGAACAACAATTCCACCTTTTCACCAGGCTGAAATACCTGTTACTATCTCAAATGTGCGAAATCATGTTGCTCTTTTAGAACCCTTGCCTTCTCTTCCAGAAAAGTCACTTGCAGGAGCAAAATGTTGTGTTTCCCTATATGAAACAAACAAGTCTATTCTTAGAGTCATGAACCCTACTAAAGATGCAATTTATCTTCCTGCCAATTATGTAGTTGCTTCTGTGTCTGCAGTGCAACCTGAAATGGTACTACCAATGTCCACTTCTTGTAACCAGTCCCCACCCAAAATACCAACACAAAATGAGAAATGTGAAGAAGAGTATTTAGACTTTGACTTAAATAATGCTGACCTTAGTTCGGAACAAAAGCAACTTTTGAAATGCTTTCTCAATAGGAATCGTCAAGTTTTTGCCAAAGATTTAAGTGAATTAGGTCATACCCACCTGTATAACCATGTCATAGATACAGGTAATGCCTTGCCAATCAAAAAGCGCTTTTATAGACAGTCACCACAGGTTTTGGCAGATATGAATAGACAGATTGATCAAATGTTAGAGTATGGTATTATAGAAGAGTCAGATAGTGAATGGCAAAGCCCAGTGGTCATGTGCAAAAAGAAATCAGGGGAATTAAGGTTCTGCGTAGACTATAGAGCCGTAAATAAGATCAGTCGCCCAAAATTTTTTCCGTTACCACGGCTAGAAGATGTATTTGATGCAATTGGCCAAGCAGACGCCAACATTTTTAGTACGCTGGACCTCTTGTCAGGATATTGGCAATGTGGACTTGACCCTGAAACAGCACATAAAGCAGCCTTTGTCACCCCTAGTGGAGTATATCAGTGGAAACGTTTACCATTTGGTTTGGCCTCAGCCCCATCCTCTTTTCAACACTTGTTAACTCAGGTTCTAAGAAACCTAAACTACAAAATTGCTCTTGTTTATGTAGACGACATTTTGATATTTAGCAAGTCCTTTGAGGAACATTTGAAACATCTCCAGTTGGTTTTTGATAGGCTCATTTCTGCAGGTCTTACTCTCAAGCCCAGCAAATGTCTTTTTGCTCGTCCCGAGGTGATCTATCTTGGTCATAAGATTTCAAAAAAAGGAGTTCAGGCAGATATTTCCAAAGTAGAAGCTGTGGAGTCATTTCCTGTCCCGAAAACTGAAAAGAATGTTCGGTCCTTTCGTGGCCTAACAAACTATTACAGGAAGTTCATAAAAGGGTATAGTCACATTGCAACTCCACTAAATAGACTCCTCAGAAAAGATGTTCCATTTGAATGGTCAGAAAAGTGCCAAAAGGCATTTGACCAACTCAAACAATCTCTCTGCTCGTCACCTATATTGGCTTATCCTAATATGTCAAGACCATTTATTCTCACTACTGATGCCAGCGGCTCAGCTATTGCTTACATATTAGGTCAATTGGACTCTGAAGGTCGAGAACGAGTGATTGCATATGGAGGGCGTTCTTTGTCTGAAGGTGAAAAGGCCTGGCCAATTAGTGAATTGGAATGTCTTGCTGTTCTTGAAGGAATCAAGACCTATCATGTTTACTTGGCAAACAGTCATTTCAAAGTCTATACTGATCACCATTCACTCAAGTGGTTAAGTTCTATCAAGCAGTCAACAGGTCGTTTAGCAAGATGGTCAGTTCTATTACAAGGTTATAGTTTTGATATCTGTTATCGGGAAGGCAATAAAAATGGAAATGCTGACGGTTTGTCTAGAAGAGAATACTCTGTTTCTCAGTCCTCTTTAGAGCCTGAAGACGCTATCCCCTCTGTAGATGTAAACCTAGTTTCAGTTGAACAAGAAACAAATGAACATTTACAAGTAACTTTTCTGTACAATTCTTGTAATTCACCAACCCCAACTATCATGGAAATCACCACTGGCAATGGCACAGAACAACCAGTTCCAAGCACTAATGAAAAACATCCAGAACAAATTACTGAAGTTATACCAGAGAACGTTGGTGAATCCCAAAAGGAATGTCACGATTTCAAACACATTTATGCTTATCTTGAAACAGGTGTCCTTCCAGAAGATAAAAAGTTGGCAACAAAAGTTTTCTTAGAAGCTAGCCAATATGCCTTGCTAGATGGTATCTTGTTCCATTTCTATCAACCAAGAACAAGAGGTAGAAAAAAAGATATCTTTGTTAGACAACTTGCTTGTCCTCGTCAGTTTCGAAATGACCTTCTTAAATCTTATCATGAGTTGGGACACTTTGGCTTTGACAGAACTTATCTTGCTATCAAACAAAAGTACTTCTTTCCTGGAATGTATCAAGCAGTCGCAGATTTCATTCGTGGTTGTGATTCCTGTCAGAGAGCAAAGCCACATGCTCATGCTAAAAGAGTTCCTTTAACTCCCATGCCTATTCTGGACACTTTTTCACGATGGCACATTGATCTAATTGGTCCCTTCAAAGAAACAAAATTGGGTCATAAATATATCCTTATTATGGTTTGTGCTTTTAGTAAATGGACAGAGGCCTTTCCAGTTAGGTCAGAAACTGCTGCAGACATTGCAGAAGTTCTTCACAAAGAAATATTCTCTCGTTATGGAAGTTGTTCTAGTTTGGTCTCAGATCGTGGCCAAGGGTTCATGAGTAAACTTGTGGCAGCTGTTACACAAATTTACAATGTGAAACACTATTTCACAAGTTCTTACCATCCACAGACAAATTCTGTCGCTGAACGCACCAACAAAACAGTTATTCAATGCTTGAAAACTATTGTAGATGAAAATCAGTCAAATTGGGCTGAACTTCTGCCTGGAATACTCATGGCTTTTCGAATGTCTCCTTCAGCATCCTCTGAATTTTCTCCTTATCACCTACTCTTTGGCAAAGAAATGAACTTACCAGTAGACACTACTCTTCTTCCAAAAACTGACTTAAACAAAAACCTGAAGTTCCACATTGAAAATATTCTTGATTGTCTGAAGATAGCCAAAAGATGTGCAACTGACAATCTTCAATACTCACAGGAGAGGCAAAAGTCACATTATGACAAGAATACTGCATTGCCACAGTTTGAAATACAGGACCTTGTCCTTATTCACAATCCTAAAGTTCCAGTTGGCCTATCTTCTAAGCTTCATAGGAAAAACGATGGTCCTTTCTACATAGTTGCAAAAGGACCTCACCACACATTCAAGTTGCGTCGTTGTGAAGACAATAAGCTGTTAAAAAGCATGATAAATTCAAACAGATTGAAGAAATACATTCCCCCAGATCATCGCCCAGATCAAAACGCTCCTCCCCCAGATGAACCCCGCCCAGACCCCCGAAGAACAGAACAACCAAATTTTCAAGAACCAGAGCCCAATCCAGATCCAAGTCAAAATAGTCAAACCAATATACAAGATAGTGATGAACCAGTTGAAGACAATTCAAAACAATTTTATGACATTGAAAAACTTCTACAACGTAGAAAGTACAAGGGTGAACCTCAGTTCTTAGTCAAGTGGGTTGGTTTCAAGGAAAAAATATGGGAACCAGAACAGAATCTTCCCATTCAATTAGTTCGTCAATTCCTGGCGACCAAAACTCAAGGAGGTAAAAGAAGAAAAAGGTCCATTAGGGACGCTGGTCTACAGGACCCAACAGTTTAGATAGTCATGTTAAAGTCAGACTTCTGGGTCAATCAACTCATCCATTGAGTTCATTATAGCCAAAATTGTTCAGTTCTTTCAATTCGGTCTTATTTTCAAAATACTTGCATATGATAAATTCATATAAAATGATAATACTCCATAGTAAAATTGAATTTCTCTTATGCACCCTAAGTATCTACATATGGACTTGGCATAATTTAGACTCATCTACTCTAGATATTCTTCAATCTTTTGTTTCTGTGTGGTGTTTGTCAAAATTATGAGGTTTCTCATGTAAATAGTGCTACGAGGGAAGAGCTCTCCCTTAACCGACTCACACTACACATCTCTTTACATTCTTTCTTTGTTTTCTTTAGGTGCTTTGAGTTATGCCACAGTTTTTTCATGGATTCTCTTGGTTGGCATATATGCCGTAAATGCAGATGGAGAAGTACAGATGCACCGCATCAACTATGGAGTAACTTTTGCTAAGGAAGCAAACATTGTTTTCGGTAGTGAAAATTGGCTTCACACTTTTGAGATACCTCTTCCACACAAGATATCGTCAGTCCAGTTTCCAAGATGTGATATAGTGCACCAGAATTGTCATATTCTCAATCAAGTAATTTCACAGCTATCAGCTGTCCGAACAGGAGTCACAGGAAATATTAATAACACTATAGATGTTATTCATAGATTAGTTAAGAAAGCAGATTTCAACTTAGATACCCGTTCCCAGAGTAGAAGCAAAAGAGGGCTTTTTGATTTTATAGGATCTATTTCTCGTTCTTTATTTGGAACAGCTACAGTAAAAGATGTCCAAAAGCTAGCAAGACATATCAATATATTGGCTGAAAGAAACAATAAGTTCGCAAAAGCAATGTCACACCATGATGAAGAGTTATCATCATTCATGACAAATACTGACAGTCGTTTCAGTAACATGATGCGTGGTATTCAGAAAAATTATGACAGCATCCAAAATGTAACTTTTGAAACTGCAAAATTTGTTGCTCACTTTGAAGACGTTAGTCTTAAGTTATCCAACCTGTTTATTGATCAAATGAATGATAGTTCTGTAATTACAAAATATTTAGAGGAATTGAACATTGGAATTCATGAAATGGTGAAAGGAAAATTATCCCCCTTTCTTATTTCTCCCAATATACTAAATAATGCTATGAAGCACATTAAACTTATTCTTAGTGACAAGTTTAAAGGTTTTTATCTTCTAAAATCAGATCCTGCATATTATTACTCAGAATGTAGCATGTTGTTTGCCAGAAAACATTCAACTTTGTATTTAACCTTAAAGTTTCCTATATCTACTTTTGCTTTTCCACTGTATTTATACAAGATAACTTCATATCCAGTTCCTGTAAATGTTACAAGTACCCATGCAACCCAGATATTAGATTTACCCGAATATTTTGTTGTTACACATAATAATCAATATTATGCATCACTGTCTTTTGATAAGTTGAGATCTTGTTCTGGAACAAACACATTATATTGTTCTCATAGTTTACCTCTAGTGTCAGCTGTCAAAACTAATTGTATATCTTCATTATATATCAATTCAAAATCAGATATTCACAAACAATGTGATTTTAGGTTTCTGTTGAACGCAATACAACCTTCAATCGAACAAATTTTTGATAACACACTTTTAGTTTATAAAACAAACACACTCGCATTTGAGTGTCAAAACAAACACAGCATTGTGAAAGGCTGTCATTTTTGCTTTATTCACATTCCATGCAGATGTTCATTATCTACCGACTCAATTTTTGTTCCGAAAAAAATAGAACATTGTCAAAATAATACAGACACTATTACTGTATTACATCCAGTGAATCTTGCACTTATTCAACATTTCTTTTCACACGAAACATACAATTCTATTTTAGGAGATACTGTTTTTACTAAACCCATAAATATAGACATTCCGAAAATACATATTTTTAACCACACATTTTCAAACATTTTGGCACAGGATAAGATTTTACACCTCAGTTTAAAAAGAATTGCAAAGGCAACACAAAAAGAACGTACAGTATTTACGTCACTGTCTGAACCCCTTCTTGATGGTAAAATTACAGTAGACAATTCATGGCTTGATCTCAGTACAATTCTTGCTATTGCAGCATTAGGTCTGTCATCCATTTTAGCAATCGTATGCTTCACACTTGTCAACAAAGTTCGCATCCTCACAGCCACAGTACTTCTTTTACAAAAGATTCCACAGGCACAAAGTACCTCTATTGCGTCAACAATTCCAACATTTATTTACAAACAAATTTCAAAAACTACAACTCCAAGTACCATTGAAAACATTTTTAACACTCAGTGCAATCCATGGCCTTTTGTTATATTATCCATAATAACTACAATTACATTAACAATTTTTACAGTCTATTTTTACAAAAGGTCTACAAATAACAATCATACAAAAGTCGTTCTCGAAATCACAAATGGATTATCATGCATCACCATACCAATAGTCAAGTTATCACTTTGTCCTACAGATTGGGACATAAAGGTACCAGATACTATTACCAACATGAGAATTTCTGGATTTTTCATTACAAGGTTACATGCAGACTGGCATGATTTTTGTATTCGTGGGACCAATACAAAACACGAAATCCCACTACCTAAATACATTTCAATCAACCCATACACTGCGAGAAAAATACGAAAAATATTAAACACACCATTCTTTTGCCATATTTTGCTCACGCACCACAACCATTTTATGATATTGAAATAGGAAATATAATTTATTTAAACCTGTATGCAACAGAACAATGCCTTTTTGTATTTTTCATGACTTATGGTAAACTCTCAAAATAGCTTGTGTAAAATGTCTTTCTTACAAAAAGGGGAAATAATTATTTTTAATTTTGGATTTATCTACAATTTTATTTTTCTTCGGGGTCGAAGAAATTTTCGACCGGGTGGGAAATATGTGACAGTGAAAATTTAAGTGCAACTTCATGCCTCAACAGCTGCATTCTAACTTTAATAATTTAAAGAAATTTGTATTATTTGTTTCAAATTATTATGTTTTATATATGAACTTTTTAGTATGAAAATCTGTTATACAATATTTATGAATCAGTATAATTTAACGTAAATTATATTATCTCATTACTTAATACGAATAGCCACAGAAATTAACATTTATAATCTTTAGCAATTTATCTAAAGACACAGGACAATAGATATAAATAAGTTTTATCTGGACAAAGTGATATTACGTAATCTTGGTTCATTTACTTATTTACGAATCTCAATAATCCGTTTTATGTCAAGAAAAGTTAAGGTGATATTTTTGTTAGCGTCCCCCTATATGACATGGGGCCAGCTAAAGGATATTTTTTAATTAAACCTTTTGTTAGCTTTCAAAGTAAACCTTGTCGAACCTCACCTGAAAACTAAGCAGGAAACTTTGTTAATAAGCGTCAGTGTTGGTCAGTTTCATTCCGACCAGCACTGAATAAAGTTGTATTCTTAAAAGCTTGTTTTCATTACAGTCTCGCAAGCAGCAGAACATCAGCAAACATACAAACAAGAACATCATCACTACATTCATTTGTCATAACCCCCAGAACGCACCCAAAACCTCGTTCACACTGATGATGTGGTTATACTAGCAAACGATGAAACAGAATTACAAACTCTGTTAGATGCATTAGATATATGGTGTGGAGATAATTGTATGACTATTAATTCCAAAAAGTGTAATATTGTGCATTTAAGAACACCTTCTGTTCATAAGTCACATGTTGTATTTAAATGTTGAATTAATATCATTGAATATTCTACTACTTATACTTATTTAGGTTTAGTTTTAAGTGAATTTTTAGATTATAATGTAACTGCTAAAGCTGTTGCAGCTTCTGCAAATAGAGCACTTGGTCTTGTTATAGCTAAGTGCAAAATTTTAGGTGGTGTACTCATAATGTTTTTTCAAAATTATATGAGAGTTTTGTGCTTCCAATTGTTGAATATGGTGCTGGTATTTGGGGTTGCAAAAACTTTTCATTTATTAATGCCATACACAATAGAGCATGCAGATTTTTTCTTGGAGTTGGTAAATATACTCCAAATGCTGCACTTGCAGGGGATATGGGGTCGATACCTATCTTTCGAAAACAATGGCAATGTTTAATTCGACTATGGTGCCGTTTGAACAATATGAGTTCTAATCGGTTAAACAGGTTAAACAGAAAAGTTTTCAAATGAGCAGACATTATGAGTAGAAAACACAGGTGTATAAAAAATTGGAATTTTTATGTAGGGTCGGTCTTTCATTTGATCAATCCTGACACCCCTCGGTGTGTTCTACGACAAGAAAAACCTTAAGATATGCATTATCTATAACATAATTTCATTATTGAATTACTCAGGACATAGCTTGTATAACATTGCTACCAATAAATATAAAAAAATCGTTTTAGCAAATAACTGTTTTATTAAACAATTGTAAATGAAATTTATGCCATATCTTCGAAGGTAAACATGCTTTTTGATTGATTGCTTGGTTGATAAAATGTGTTCATAATAACAAGTGACAAGTTCTTCATATCGATGGGTTGGTCGGCCGGTATGTGTATTGAGTGTTTGATTGATTTGTGGATTGATATATTCTTTGATTGATTTGTGGAATGATTTATTGATAGTTTGCATAACCTAAAGATAATTCATAATGACTAATACATCGATTGATTGTTTGATGTCCAGTGACAAATATCTAACGAACATTCTGTAATCAGAAAAACGTGTAAAATTCTCTCCCTCCTACACAAAAAAGACAGGACGGGGACCACTTCTTCGATTAATTACACGGGGACGGGTTTCCAGTAATAAACGAAAAATTAAATATGAAGAAATTTTTAGATTCAAATAGAAACGTAAAATACAACAGAAAACAACATTCAATATCCAGGTTCAATTTCAATTTCAATAAAAACACGCTTAACAAATAAATAAAACATAAATTTTGATGATCCCTAGAAAAAAAAAATTTTATAAAGGAAAGTTCAAGGATATTCTTTGGATGGGATGTTTATTCTTGCATGTTCCCATTGAAATTTATAATACAAATGGAAGAAAACTTTTTTTAGGGGAAAGGAGAAGGGTGGTAAATCCTTGGAAGCTCCTAGAAATACCATGATTTAAATACAAATACATATTGCCCTGACCCGAAAACGTGTAATTGAAAGGGATCCAGACCCTAACTCTTTTCCCACTTGTTCCCAGAAACCCAAACCCGTGTAGTTTGTAATCGATAAACTGGTTCCCGGCCTTTCTCTTTATTTGGAGGAAGTGACATTGATCATTCCATGAGTTAAGAATGTCGATTAAATATTTGTCACTGGACGTCACAGAAACAATCAATCACTGAATTAATCAATATAAAATATGCGTACCTTTGCGTTATATAACTGCCAATCAATCAATCAATCAAAAAAATCATTCAAACAAACATACGAACCAAGGCATTTATCGATTATTAAATGTAAAATTCGTCAAATGTGATATTATAATATATGCAAATTTCAATCAAAGCATGATATAAAAATAATTACCAACGATTCAAACCAACAAATTTATATTAATAATTTGTCACTTGATGTTTTGCCAACATTTCATCAACCAACTAACTAACCAACCTACCTACCAATACTCATGTAAGTAAGGATGGACAGATTTCTCTCCGAAGGTTTTTATTTTCATTGTAAGCAATGTTATAAAAGATATTGATGTGGCCAGTAAATCAATAAATAAAATATTTTGAACACTTTTGAGATTATCACCTATTTAAAATTTCAACTCTAGACATTTATTTAACATTTCTAAATCATTTGTTAGCCAATGTTATTTATGATGCCACCGAGATATGTGTAAGGTCCTAGAGGGAAATATTTTATGCTCGCTGCTATTTTCATATTATGTAAATAATATACATGTATGACAACCAGTTAATGGTAAAACTGCATTTTTCCGTTATAATAGTTGATCAGCCGATACTTTATATTATACCTCAACCAAAGATTGAAATAATACACCATTTGAATTAGAAAGAATAGAAAAATATTGATGCATATAAATCTGAGTGATAACATTTGAGACATCAATTTCTTATTGAATTTGCTGCGTCAGACAGAAAAAACCTGCCAAATACTCACGGTTAATTACTGTTTAAATTTATTTCTTTTATTTAATGAAGCGTATTTTGCGTCCAAGGACGCCGATGTAAATAAGCCTAATGGCTTTCGTGGGTCATCCTAGGTTTAAACATATCCAGTTTTAATTATATGACTTAAAGGAGTAAGTTCGGTAAGGGTCTTATTTGGCCCCGACTATCAATTTCAATGTTATAAGATAAAAACATATTTTAATTTGATAAAAAGACATCTGAGAAAGTTAAATATAACTATTTTTGTCAACGTTTTATTTTACAGCGTTCAGGTTTACATCCTAAATAGGACAAAAATAGAGATTTACCTAAATGCAGTGATGCACATACTAGATATGAAAATCAAATTGAGTGCTATTCGAGATGTCACGAATAGAACGCAATAATGTTCAACAACTAGACATATTTCTACTATGTGAATCACTGCATTTAGGTAATGTGTTCATTATCTCTGAGTGCTTTTTTTTCTTGGATCTGCTGTAAGTGATGAATCACATATTATAAATATTTAGTATGATGTCACCTGTGTTCATTTTTGTCCCTATTTGTGTGATTTGGATAGGGTATATTATGATCCCTGAAATTTGTTCGCCTATAGAATTTGCTCCAAAGATGGGGTTTTTTTTGTGTTCATATTTTACGGTCATTGGTTGTATAAGCCTTCAAACAAAGAGTCACACGTTTTTGGAACAAGCTTATCTTAAAAGGAAGCGTCAATTCTGAGAACGCAAATTAGTTTTATATCATACCTGGTTTGCATGTTTGAAATTGGCCAACTTTCAATTCCATCCTCTTCTAAATTTTCGGGAAAACATGGATTTAATACCTTGTTTTTGCTTGTCATCCTGGTGCGAAGCTATCAATTTCATACGATATTCACGCCATCTTGAAATTATTACGTAACAAATATCGGTTATCATTGGTTGCCTGTTGATGAGGGAAATATTCTATTGGCTAGAATGAGATAAAGAATTGGGAACATGTCCCAGACAGATGAAGATATTAAATACGGACAAAGTTACAGTATGGGTATTGAAGATCCGATCTGATACCCGGTCAATGAATAATTTTGCATTTACTGAGTCAATTTGTGTTCATGAATTAGAAGAGGGACAAAGATCAACAAGTTTCTTAGTGCTCATCTGACTATATATGCATATATATATGTTCGTTGTGAGCCAAGGCTTCGTGTCGAAGGCTGTACTTTGACCTATAATGGTTTACTTTTACAAATTGTGACTTGGATGGAGAGTTGTCTCATTGGCACTCATACCACATCTTCTTATATCTATATACACCAACACTTAAAATACATGTAATTTCAGTATTCCGTCAAGACAATTGTCAGAAGACGTGTATTCCATGTTATAAAACAAAATGATATATAAAAAAACAGCTACGTCAAGTTCACATGATACCTCTGAATTGTGCATTAGAATTATTGTGAGAAGATCTGAAATATGTATGCACCTAATAACAACTCAGTAACATTGCTGTGGAAGAAAACATTCATGAAGATAACCATATGCAAATAGAAATTGCGTCAAAATTGACTGTTAAAAGTCCCATAACTTTATGGAACGACACACTAAAAACTTTTTAAATCCAAAGCGAGCTTAGATTCGCCAAAACCATCAACAGTTTTAAGTTTGTAGTTTATCCAAACATTCTAGATCTAGAGTATGCCATCTAGAATATTACCATAAGTCCCATAACTGTGGAATGATACATCATAACGTTTCAAAATTAAACACCATTTCTGGAATGACGACACAAACAAATTTTAAAATCAAAAGGAAGTTTTCGTCTTTCAATCCGATAGTTCCGTTTGAGTTTCGTAGGAATTGGTTAAAGCAAATTTAGGTTTTTGTAGGAAGTATTCATGGACAAACTACAGTATACCACAACACACCCATCTAAGACGGGCTTATAAGACCACACTTATGAGAATGTGCACAAAAGGGATAAATAATACCTTTCTTTTACTTAAACAAACAAATAACCCACATCGTACTTAAAATTATGATACAGCTATAGTGAGAGAAAAATAGGCAAAATATGGAAATTTTATATTTCCATTAAAAGAACGATAAAGTACAATTAATTTTAATAAAATAGAATCGTATAGATTTTATAAGAAAGTAAAATTATAATACTTAGTATTTAAAGAAATTCATACTAGAAGAAATGAAAAAAAATTATTTTAACCTATAAAAAGGCTTTATGATAAAGAATATAATTTCAGATATAACTTGAAATTGGAAACTTGTAAATAGAATTAAAGGTTAATTATATAATTTCACAGATATTTTGTACATAGTATTGCGTAAAGTTTTATAACAAAGAGCATGTTAATTTAGTCTGTTTTTAAGTACTAGATGTCAAATACTTTTAGCTTATAAATACT